AAACTAAAACAATTTTTACACTACACACTTTAAAAAAAACTACTTTCAAAACACTTTATAAATACTCTTGAGGAATGATACAAGGGTTATTATAAAGAAAACTGCCTTACATTAGAATTTTCAAAACAATTTCCAAAACCAAGATTTCTTTCCAATAAATATTTTCAAAACAAACATTTTGTATACATTCTCAATGATACGAGAATTATTACAAAATCACCACACTTAGGAGTTTTCAAAATATTTTCAAACATACACAAACACAAAGCATTATTTCAAAGTGAGCTAGAAATTAAAAGCCCGTAGATAATTACGGATGAAAAGGGTGCTAACACCTTCCCTTTTCATTACCTACCCTCTGAACTCAAGAAAAAATCTCAAAGGTATTTCTTGTTATTTTCACCCTTTCCTTTACTGGATAAAAGAAGAGTCGGTGGCAACTCTTGCTATCCGCAACATTTGCGATAAAACACAAAAAAACACCAAGTCAGTTCTCCCACCATATTACAGAAGGTATAGCTCCACTTGCTCAGAGCTTCAATGTGAGGCTATGAGAAGTGTGTGTTTGAGCTCTAAGTGGGGGTATGGGGGTGATTGAGAGTTTAGCAGAGTGACTTTGCAATGATTGTTGATAAAGAGTGATGAAAGTTAAGGGTTTTTACAATTGATGAATAGAGGAATTTGGAAGGAAATTCAGTTATTCAGTTAGGTTTTATTGAATTAGAACCTTAGGATAGTGATCCACATGAGAGATTAAGGAAGGTCTAGGATTGAGTCTCAATGAAGTTGTTATAATTTGTGTTTGTTTAAGGAAATTTTGAGAGTTTAAATGTGAAATATGTGTTAGTTTTGTGTTAGTTTGTAGTGAGGTTACAATTTTGGAGGGAAAGGTTATTTGAGTATGACAAACTAGGGCAGGGGTTGTAACTACTTAGGGAAAATAGTTAGGTAGTTAGGGAAGATTGGTTATTATGTTAGTTGGTTAGAAGTGAAGTGTTGAGGTTTAAGAGTTAGTTAATTGTGATAGGAGAGGGTTTAGTTGATAGTTAAAGGTGGAGTTTAGTTTGTTTAACTGCAGATTATAATGTGTAGGGATTTGGGATAATTGTAGGTTAAGTGCAGTTAAATGTCATGCCAATTAGGGTTTGAGGTCAGGTTAAAACTTATGTGAGGTTAAGATTTAGGTTTGACATGGTTAAACTTGGGGTTAAGTAGATTAAGTTAGAGTAATGAGGTTAAAATAGTTAGTGTGTTGGCTTTGAAGTTCATGGTGAAGTTGGGATAGGTTAGGTTAATTAACAAGTTTTTACGTGGTTTGAAATGTTTTTGGCAATTGAACATGAAGCTGGTCTTGCATTGCTTTGAGTATTATACTGATTTGATGATGAATTGTGTTGCATCTTGAATTAGATCATTTGCTTTCCTGGTGAACCTGATGTTGTATGTTTTTTGAATTTCATTTCTATTGTATTTGACTGGTCAGTTGCATCATGCATTAAATGTATGTTTTTTTATGATATGTTGCAAAATGGACCCATATGAGATTGGCCATATGCCAAACCTGTTCTTTGGATTGAAATGAACTGTATTGTATGGTTGTGAGATGATGAACTGTATTGTCCCTAAACATGAAACATATTTGAATGCCTTTAATTAATGGATTTTGTATATGTTTTGTATCATATTTTCTGTATTTTGACTGCACTTGAATATTGAACAGATGAATAATGATGGCTTGAACTTGAATGATGCAGGTTTGTGATGCAAGTTAACGCTTGCAGGATATCATGAAATCAAATTGGACAATTATTGAAATACAAAGGCCAAAGATGAAGAAAGTTAAGGAACACATGGTTAGTTGATGATGAAGATAAATCCTTCTTGACCAACTTGTGAAATAGGTTTGGGAAACGATTGGTTAACAAGGTCAATCCTTCATGGTTGACTTTGTTGACCAAAAAGTCAAACTTTAATTTTTTAATTCTCCTTGTCCTTGTGACTGTAATAATAACTTGTATGTATTTTGTACCATAACTTGTGTGACAAGCAAACTTGTAAATCCATTTCTTGAGTATTAATGAAATTTATCTTTTTTCCTAGATTCAAATTTTATATGATATTTGAGCCAAGAGCTAAGTGCATATGCCTCTGATGAGCCATCAAGAAGATCATTCTTTTTCACAAAAACTTTCCTTTTGTCTTGTACTTGTTACTTCTTTCAAACCAATAACTTAATTCACAAGTAACATAATGTAGCGCAAAACCCTAATCCATGAGGAACCATCTGATCACCAAACAATGAGGATAACCCACCCATTGAGAAACCAATCCAACCAAATTGAATCCAATACCAAGAAACCTTTGACCTAGTAATGTCATGTGATGCAAATGATATGAATGATTGACTTAATATGAACAATGAACAAAAGAACCATGTATGCAGATGAATACAACCATAAGCTAGATAAAATTGACTAGGGGTAGAGCAAATTTGGGGTATAAATATACGAATACTCAGGTTGAGGAGCGGTACTTGCTACCATGTGGAAGGATTTGCATATATGCTTATTTCATTTTATTATTGTTTTCTTAGTAGTTCGTTCTCCGCTTTGAGAGTCTAACATCTGGATAAGTTTTCAGTTATTTAATCTTTTCTAATAATTGTTGACTTATTTATGTTTTAATTGAGATAACATGATTTTGAATTTCCACTGCTTTGTTGTAAAGTTTAGTTTTTGAAACTTGTTTTATGAGAGGGATGTAACACTCTAATGTTGAAATTATTTTTTATTGCATGATTTGTTTTAAAAATGTGCGTTGCAGTTTTAGGGTGTTACAATACCTGTAGCACAATTCACAGATGTCCCACATCCTCTTCATCGAATTCAAAATACACCATGATATCTTTGATGAATACCACAACAAACTGATCCAAGTAAGGATGAAAGATCCTATTCATATACTCCACAAAACACCAGAGGCATTAGACACACCAAACAACGTCACTAAGTACTCATAATGACCATAACGATTTCTAAATGCAGTCTTTAGTATATACTCAAACTTCACACGAATTTGATGATAACCTGACCTCAAATCAATCTTGTTGAACATAATAGCTCCAACTAACTGATACATAAGATCATAAATTTTTTGTAAGAGGATACTTATTCTTAACTGTAACCTTATTCAGTTGTCGGTAATCAACACACAACCTCATGCCACCATCTTTATTCTTAATCAACAACACTAGTGCTCCCTATGACGATACACTAGGTTTGACAAACATTTTATCTAACAGATGTTTTAAGTGTTTCTTCAGCTCACTCAACTCTGAAGCAAACATTCTATACAGTGCTATCAACACAGGTCTAGTACCATGTACTAAATTTATGGCAAACTCAACTTCACACTCCGACGATAAATCACTAATATCCTCGGGAAAAATATCAGGGAACTCACATACAACATGCATCTCAACACTCACAACCTCGTTCTCCATTCTCAAGGAAGCAAACAACATGAGTGTCTGATCATCTTCCCTCAAGGACATGCCTACTTGACCGATGGTCACGAATCTCAAATTCGTACTCTCTTCGGGTTTGAGAAACATCACAGTCTTGTCAAAGCAATTAATGTGTACATGATTAATCTCTAAACAATTTATTCCAAAAATAACATCAAGTTGACTTAGAGGTGAACAAACCAAGTCAACTCTAAACTTCTTACCATAAATGGTTAGCATACAATTCAAACAAACCAAGGAAGTAGTCACATAACCATTTTCCGGGGTATTAATGACCATATTACCCTTCATAGATGACACTACCAACTTCAACTTGATAATACAATAATGAGAAATGCATGAATGCATCACACTCATATCAATAATAACAATCAACGAAACACCATTAATGAAACACTTACCTCAAATCAAATTATCAGATATCAATACCTCTCTACAACTCAGAGAAAACACCTTGCCACTAGCTTGTGCGACATCTGGATTCGTCTTCGACTTCTAACACTAGATACTTATATGACACTGTTCACCATAATTGACAAGTCAACACTGCACTCTTGCATTCAGAAGCCTAATGTCCCTGTTTCCCACACTTAAAATATGTCAGGACTATGCTCTTGCACTTAGCAACACAATGGCCTAACCCTCCGCATTTGAAATATCTCATAGAGTTAGACACTCATCCCCTTCTTGTTCCACTCCCACTTGCAGCCTTCTGTTAGGGCTTCTGGTTTTCCTTACTAGTTAGAGTCACATACGACTTACTACGATTATGATTCACATTCTTCTTCTCATTAGCACTCTTGTATTGAGTATATCTGACCCTACTATCCTTATCATATATTCGACACTTGTTAACCAACACAAAGAAACAACATATCTTCTGATACTCAATGATTTAGTCCAAATAAGTCAATATAAATTTTTTAAAATTTAAAGATTTAAGAGTTTAAACTTTAGAAACACTAAAAGAGTTTAAATATAGTGCACAAACAGTGTAAATCAATATTATACATGCAACAAATCAAAAAATTTATATTAGTCATTATGTCAATTTAAAAAAAATAAAAATATAATTTAATTAAATACATGTCTCTCATTAATTAACAACATTTTAGAGTGTTAGTGCATATTATTTTTTCTCATACTAAAATGAGGTATAAAAGAAAGAATTCATCACTTAAAGTTTTGAAGTTTAAAATAAATAAAAAAGTGTAGAGGGTGTTTTTCAAAATTTTCAAGGTTTTGAGGATAAAAAAAAAATTCTAAAACAAAATTCTTTGTAAGAAGCCCATGATGTGAGACTTGAAGCAACCCAAGCCACGAACCCAACATCTATATGCGATATATAAACCCCTAATACTAACAATCAGTCTCAAATTCGCGTAGTGTAGAGAGCTCGCAGATTACTGATTTAGGGTTAGGGTTTATCATTTCTTTAATCTTTATCCTTTTCTTAACTCCAATTCTAAAGATAATGGATCCAACCAAGAAGCGCAAGCTTGACGAGAACGGATTCGGCGGCGAATCCGATCACCTTAAACTCTCCCCGTCGGAAGCCCGCAAGGTAATTGAGCGTTTCACCCCCGACCAGTTAATTAACATCCTCCAAGACGCCGTCATCCGCCACCCCGACGTTCTCTCCGCCGTCCGGGCAATTGTAGACACGGATATCTCCCAACGGAAGCTTTTCATCCGCGGCCTCGGTTGGGACACCACCACCGATGGACTCCGTTCCCTCTTTTCAACTTATGGTGAACTTGAAGAGGCTATTGTAATTGTCGATAAGGCTACCGGTAAGTCCAAGGGTTATGGATTTGTCACGTTCCGCCATGTGGACGGGGCTCTACTAGCCCTTCGCGAGCCTAGCAAGCGCATTGATGGACGTGTAACTGTCACGCAACTAGCTGCAGCAGGGAATTCGGGTTCTAACACCAATACAGCGGACATTGCGCAAAGGAAAATATATGTATCTAACGTGCCACCGGATCTGCCAGGAGATAAGCTTTTAGCCCACTTTTCACTGTATGGGGAGATCGAGGAAGGTCCGTTGGGCTTTGATAAACAGACAGGAAGGTCGAAAGGGTTCGCTCTTTTTGTGTACAAGACACCTGAAGGGGCACAGGCTGCACTATTGGAGCCTGTGAAGAATGTAGAGGGGCGGCAGTTAAATTGCAAGCTGGCAATAACAGATGGGAAGCAGCAAGGGATGCGCGGTGGGCCAGACGGGGCTCAGGCCCGTGGGAATACCCATGGGAATGGAATGGGGATGGCTCCTGCAGCTGGGCCTGGGCCGGGTCAATACGGTGGTTCTGTTGGAATGGGTCCTTACGTAGGGTATTCTGGTGGGCATCAGGGTCAGCCTCCAATGGGGAACCATCCTCTGAATTCGTCTGTTGGTGGTGGGTTGTCTTCAGTGGGGAGTCAGGCCCCGTCTTCAGTGGGTGGTGCTGGTGGGTATGGTGGTGGTCATTATGGAGGTTATGGTGGGCCTACAGCGACAGGTTTTGGCAGCAGTGGCAGCAGTGGTTATGGAGGAGGTAGTGGTGGGACCGGGGCAGGTGCCGGCGGTGGACATGGTTCTGCTGGAGGTAATGTCGGGCTCTCTTCTGTGTACAGATTACCAAGTTCTGGAGGATATCCTGACAGCGGTCACTATAGTTCATCGGGTTATCAGAATCATCAGAATCAGCATCTTCCTCCTTCCGGGGCGTCTCCAGTACCAAGGGTTCAACCTGGTTCCATGTATCCAAATGGGCCCCCTTACTACTAAGGTAAATTTGAATGTTTTGGTTTGTAACATTCTCTTTAGGTCAATTATTATTTTAAGTAATATGTTTTCCTATTCATAGTTTTTGTTCTTCTGTTGTTAGAATGTTTCTTTGTTTTTTTCATAGTATTGTTTGGTATATTATCACTTGCATTGTGTTTAGTAACTGTAGTTTTATTCATGAATAATCGGCTGTAAGGTTTTGACGTATAAATAGTATAGTATTGTAGTTTGTAATTTGCTTCACATGCCTTGTCTATGTTATGATGAGTTTTTCTTTTGTCATAGTTTTGTAGTGTTTGCTGTCTTGCCATGTAAATTATTTTAGATGTATGATTAAATATGTTGTTTGTGATATTTTTTTTCCCCTTCTTTTGATCAGTGTTTTTATTTAATTGTCACCTTTTTGATCTCTTTGCTTGTCATCATGTAAAATATTATATTAATTGAATTAAATATACCTGTTTGCTAGTTTGTAATTTGCTTCACATGCCTTGTCTATGTTATGATGAGTTTTTCTTTTGTCATAGTTTTGTAGTGTTTGCTGTCTTGCCATGTAAATTATTTTAGATGTATGATTAAATATGTTGTTTGTGATGTTTTTTTCCCCTTCTTTTGATCAGTGTTTTTATTTAATTGTCACCTTTTTGATCTCTTTGCTTGTCATCATGTAAAATAGTTATATTAATTGAATTAAATATACCTGTTTGCTCGTGGTGGTGTTGGAGATTGCAGCTGATCTGTGGCTTTTTATACACGTTTGATAATTGTTGTGATTCTTTGATGCAACAGTAGCTAGAATAGTGAATCTATGATGGGTACCCTTTTTGTTATATTTTTCTTGACTGCAACATGTTTTGTTACTTTCTTTGGAAACTCATTATGTATGGCATACCAACTTAGTAATTTAGAATTGTGAGGAAACTCTCGCTCATTAAAAAAGCTGCATGTCGTAAAATCCAAGGTTCTGTTTATTTTGTGAAAACATTTTCTATTTTCTAAAATGTGTATTTGTTTTAACTTGCCAATAAAATATGACACTCTTGAAATGAACTATCGGGATGGAGAGGAGAGAAGATGAAATGCTAGATGCAATTTGGAAATAATGAAAACAAGAGTTTATTCACTTCAACACTTTTGACATTTTTATTGTTTCAAAAAACTGTACACAATTATTCACTTCAAGAGTCTATTACCTTCTTGTTAGCAAGTAAAATTAGCAAAAAAATTTAAAAAAACTAGAAAAGCTTTCACATTATAAATGGGGCCTAAAATTTTTACATTACTTGTTAAAACGTTGATTCTTGTGGAATCTCTTGTTTAGTGCTCATCCAACATTTAACATGTTTTGTTCTACCACTGTCTTTCGGGTACTTAATCACATTGATACTTATCTGAGAGTGGTCTCTATGATTTTACTTGTTATCTTCCATTCCCTGCTTTTGTGGTTTCCCCTTCCTTGCCTTTATAGTTTAATATCTGGCGTGTCTTGTTTGTTTTTCAACTTTGCTGTTATAACTTCCAAATTGCTGTGTTTCTTATTCCTTGCTTGAAATTATCTTCACAATTGTATTTTGGGTTGTGCCTCCTATGAACGGATGAGCAATGAGTCTGTTCTCATTGACTATGTGCTTTTACATTATATGTTCTGTGAAAGATTGTTGTGAAATGATGAATTGAGTTGAATGGGTGTTTGATTCAGGTGTATCACCGCTTGTTGGGCGCAGATCTTTGTGTGCTTCTGGTGATTGCGTTGTTATTGCAGACTATGTGCTCTGGTGTAGTGATTGTGTTAGCTTATACTTTTACAGCCTGTTGATTTCACCTTCTCTCCTTTTAAGCTTGTTCCTTGTGTTGGTAGTTAAAAACTATTGTGATAGACTAGTTTTGTACTTTTAGCCAGATTACTTTAGCTGTTCCAACCTTTGTTTTAATTATATTGGTTATGGATTATGGTCATTTTTATTCTGAGTTTGTACTTGGTTACATTTTTCTTGGGTTATCAATAAGTTCTTCTTGAGTTATACATATATATTTATATTATACGCCCCTTATTTGATGATGTGCCTGAAAAATTCTTTGTACAATACAAGATGGATTATATTGGTGTCATTTTTTATTACCTTTGTTTCTCCCTTTACCAAGGAACTCCAATAAGTTTTTGCACCATTGTTTAACTTTATCGACTTGCACTGTATGGATTTATTGCAAACAACTTGTTTGGGGTGGAAGCACGATGCTGTATGCGCTTTAACAACACTAATTGTTGATACACTTTAACAACACTAGTCGTTGATACACTTTTTGTAGAGTTGGTTAGCAGAAGATATTTGTGTAATTGTATATTCAAATAAATTCATGTTATTTTTTTTTAATCAAATGGGATTTAGTTTGTTTTACTTGATTGTGGGGGCTGTGATGGCCTTTTGCATCAATTAGTATTTTATCATGAGATTGTTGTTTGCACTCAAAGACTAGCCGATTGAGTAATATAATGTGTATTGCTTAATTATGGCTTTTCATTTTTGTTTTCTTTATACCTTTGTCCCCCATCTGTAGAATAATTCAATGATTAGTCATGTGAAAGTTGTTAAATACTATGCTTTCTTATTCCTTTTCTTTGTTGGGTGTGTTGGACTTTGACTTTGATTTGCATGTTTTTTGGATTTTTCATTCTTTTGGGTTAATTTTATACTCTACATCTGGTCTGATTCTGCATGCTGTGATTCTTTTAGATTGTTGGTATTTAAGTTTTTAGTTCACAATTTAGTTGTATCATTTTTCATTATGGGTCAAATTTTGAATCTCATGATATATTTGTTTATTCTTAAAAATAATTCTGGCCAGGATTCTTGCAAATTCATATTCAAGCTTTAGTGTATTTGTCCATTAACTACTCTTGTAACACTCTACTTTTCATGATGTTGCCACAGTCTAAGTATACAGTAGGGAAATACTGTGATACTTAGAAATAAGTATTATGAGTCTTACTCTAGTGTTGTTGTGTTTTTGAGGATTGCTAAATTTGTTTTAAACCCTTGGATGCCTTTTTTTTATCCTTTTAAATTTTATTAACGATTGCTGTATGAAATCAGACTAGATCTTTGTTGTGTTCCATCAATTTATTTCTTCAATAGTGCAAAAAGGTATTCGGAGATCCTTGTTCTTAATCGGTTACCATTAAATTTGTTTTAAGAACACGTCTTCAGGAATATGACGGCTCTCGTAGAATAGAGATTCTTTTATAAAATGGCTTGGTGGGTAACTCTTTTTCACACTGCCCCTTCTATTAAGCCTTGCAATGCTTGTATGTGTCAAGTTGATAATAACATAAATAGTTAATTTTATTTTGGTCAATTAGTTGATAACGATTTAAAGGAATGAATAAAATTCTTAGATTGGGGCTGGTTCATAATTGGCTTCTTTAGCAAGGTTTAGGATTTTAGGCAAGGTTTCTTATTTGCTTATTACGGCAAGGTTTAGGATTTTAGGCAAGGTTCGTTATTTGCTTATTATAGTTAGATAGTAGTTTTTGATGAATCAATAAATCAGCTAATTAGTTTATCTTATGGTTCTGTTTTGTAAAATAAAATCTTATATACTTAAAAAATAATCAAACTTGTATCGAACTCAAGGTTGTGATTATTTCTAAATTTAGTTTATCATTATAAGTTTACTGAAATGATATTTTGAGAATTGAAGCTATGCAATTTTCAATGTAAGATAACTTGATTACACCATGTCATGATTGTTTACTCTTTGGAGGTGGGATGATAAACTCCATTCCCTTATCCAGGTAAGGAAGATGGGGAATTTTTTTCTTAACACAATTTATCATCTTCGTAGTTGGTGTGTTTAATAAGGAAATCAAGTTAAATCCAAAGAGGGAATGGTAATGGTCGAAGTAGTTGATATGTTAGGCTATTGGGTCAATTGTCTTAGGATTGGTTTCTCTTGGGTCAATTGTCTTAGGATTGGTTTCTCTTGGGTCAATTGTCAAATCTAAAGCTAGAAGAGTGGATTCTTTTAGGTTAATTGTCTCTCAATTGTAATCTGAACCACAACTTAAAAGGTAAAGATTGTACAAAATCTGAAGTGCAGTTTTATGGGTGGAGATTTTCTATGCTCCTCCTTTGAAATCTACATGGGAGGAATCCATTATTGAAAACTAGTAGTGGTGGTCAAGAGCTAGAGTATTAAAATGGTAGGTTGTTATTATTTTATTAGGAATGTAAGTTTTTTTTTTTACATATAAAAGATAAGATACAAAATTGTTGTTTATAAGAAGACTAGATCATGACACTTTTCACAAGAAAACTGGTACAAATAATATTTTGCAAGCATTTCTGATCGTATTTGACTAGAATGGATCGTCAAGGCTTTACGTTGAGCTGAGGTTGAAAACGAGATGTGGGTACCTACCTGCAAGGTACACTAATGTCAAAGTAAGTTTGAGTGCAAGAAGTATGAGTATGAGAATGAAAGGGTATTTATAGTTTTCAGTGTTAGGCTAAGGTTCTCAATGTTGGGCCACAATGAGGTTCAACAATGAAGACTGTCAGGGCAGTTATGATGACAATGATATGGACATGTGGGCCACGTTCCTCAACGGATGCGTGGGGAGTTGTCCAATGATCTCCAGCTTCGGTTGTTTGTCTTTGAGTCTTATGATAGAGTGTTGGATTGTGCCTCCCAGCAGCGGGGCAAGTGTACGTCTAGTCCTGACCAGGAGCCCCTATGTTATTGATTGTCCTTAGGTGAAAGGGTGATAACTTAAATTTAGCCTTACGATCGGGGAGAATTTACTCGAGAAGGGAGGTCAAAGTCCTTTGACGGAGATAAGTTGTTGCCCGTGTTGGGGACAACTTGTTTTATCGTGTCGGGGATCTTGTGGACAAGCGAGCTGCGAGACCAACTGGATTAGTTGTTCGTTCAGTGTTCGATAGGAATATATAAGCTACGGGGAGCTTCCACTAACTCTTTTTTGACGTGCCCGTCTTCAAAGGGTTGTCACGATATCGAGCGTTATTTTGCCCTCGAGGTAGATCGCGACGAATATGCTCGTGTATATGCTTTAGCCATGGTGTCGAGCATTTCTTTGCGTGAGGCGTCTGTCTCGTGCTTGCGTACAGAGTTTTATGTTGAAGTCGACATGTTCGTCTCTCGAGAATGGTATGTGGCTGATTGTTGGGCCACGTGGCTGTTGCTTTGGGGTGCCACCTTTTCATGTGGAGTCCAAATGGTCCAATCCAATGATGACTTTTCGTGATGAATCTCGTGGTGTGTGAGCTACCTATAAAAAGGGGGCCCTACGGTTTCATTTATCATTTCTCAAGTTTTCTTCTCCAATTTCCCTTGCTTGTGTGTGAATCCTCTCCTCCCAACTTCTTCAGATTTCTTCCAAGTATCTTTCATCAAAGTAAGTCATGTCTCTTTAACAATGTATTTCCTTAGTGTTTCTAGATTAAACACCTAGTTTTTGTCTTGATTGGATGAATCTTGGATGAATATTCATGAGTTCTGGGATGAACACTTGTGAATGTTCATTGAAGTTCCGTTAATTTTCATGATGTCGGGGACAATCTCCTTGAATAATGGGAGTTGACTCGGGCCTCTTGCCCGTTTGATTAGATATCCTCAATAGAAGTGTATCCTGTTTTAGTGTGCAGTCGAGGGCTTATGTCGAGGTCCACTCCTCGACCGCTTCATCGCCCTTTCACTTGATCAGTGGTGGAATGATGAATTTGATGATGTCGAATGCACAGTTTTTCCATGCTTTTTGGGGATGATGTCTTGCCTGCCAACCACAAAGACGAAATCAACGTTGAGGAGGACCCTTTTGCATGGGTCATGCATGAGCCTCGAAATAAAAGGTCGTGCTTTTCGCACGACATAATGGACACGTTCAACTGTCTGGAGGTTCGAGTCGAAGGGCCCCAGTCAACTGGATTCTTCAAATTTCTCATCGCAACTGGAGCAAATGTTTTCCGATGTACGAGTTCGCGTTTAGAGAGGCGGGGATGCGTTTTCCCTTCAATGATTTTCAAATGGAGGTTTTCCATTGACTTCAATTGGCGCCCTCTCAATTTCACCCAAACACGCTGGCGTTCATGCAGGCGTTTGAGCTCATCTGCCAGTACAAATAGGCGCTACGTTGTCCCTCTGTTTTCGTATCTTTCACATACAAAGACAATCCATTGGAGGAGGGCAAGCGTGAGTGTCCTTCAAACAGTTTGGGAAACTCTTTAAGCCTTATCTAGAGTTTGTCTGTCACTTCAAAGAGAGGTACTTTATTGTGAAACCTTTGACGGATGCGACCATAAATTCCCTATACATTTGCGTGGATGAGGTGGAGGATCGGTGACCAGTTACTCGGCTCGTGGCCAGATTTCCGCTCGAATGACAATGGAAACATTTCGAGCAAAAGCCCGAGTATTATACTGTAAAGCCTGAGGATTTGGACGCTCAGGACCACCTCTCCTATGAGAAGCTGGCTACCTATGTTAGGAGCTTCTCCCCAGCGATGTGTGTGGACGTGAACAACCATCTCTTCTACAACAACGAGGAGTACCTTAGTTAATAGGTTTATTAATACAAAGACTTTGCTCGAATGTTCCTCATACAAGGAAGCCATGAGGCTTTTAGGTCGGGGATGCGGTCCTTGTTTAATCTGTGACTGACAGTTTCTTTTTTGTTGCAGGTCGGATGGCGTACTTCTTCAAGCGCTTATTAAAGTTGAGACCGAAGAATGCTTCCACCTTGGAGACAAAGAACATGGTCGCCCAGCTTCAAGAGCAGGCCAAATCTGCTGCTCGTGCCAGCGGTTCCCCCTTTTCATCAAAAACCCAGGTTCCCCTCAGTGAGCCCGCAACAAAGAGGAAACGTGTGGAGGACGTCGAGAGTGTTGTGCCCGAAGGTGACAAGAGGTCTGGGGGGTCTTCGTGCTGCCTCCTTGTTATCTAAATCGTGATCTCTTTAGTGGGGATAGCTCTTTGGGCGTTCACGAGGAGGAGAGTGAGGCGATTATGTCCGAGGATAAGGAGGTCCATCGAAAGAATTTGGCAGAGGATGTTGTTGTTGTGATGAGGATGTTTGAGACGGCCTTGACACTAAATGATGAGGCCGCGAGCTCCCGGGCCTCCCTCGCCACAGCATATGCTAAAATTTAAAAGCTAAAGGCCAAGAATGAGAAATTAAAGTGTGACATCCTCAACCACGAGTCAAAGTTTGAGACCCAAGTTCGACTTCTTAAGGATCTGAACGAACTGCGGCCCCAACTGGACACCGTGACCAAAGAGAACGAGCGCCTGGTTGCCTGAACAAAATAGTTGGAGGGAATCGTGGCCGCGACTGAAGAAGAGACTGGCGCATAGAAAGCCATGGTGTCCAGAGCAGAGCTAATTGTGTGCATCCGGGTGCTCGAGCAAGACGTCGTGGACACACTCGGCTATGGTTTCAACACGACCATGAAGCAGTCGAGGATTCTGAAATCGGGGGTAGAGTTTGTGGTTGAAGGCGCAGGGCCGTTTAACCAAGTGATTGATGGGAAAATCTTCTATCCTCCCGAGGATAGTGGCAGGGAGGATGAGGTTTGATTAGTTTTAGGGTCTGCATGCCCGTTCTTGTTTTATTTTGGATTCATGGTCGTCGTGTCTAATTTTGTAATTATTTAAACAGCGTCGACCTTCGTGGTCGGCATTTATGAATGTCTCCATTTTTGCCTTTATGTCTATTTATTTATAAATGATTGTTTGTCGTTGTGTTTGACTTGCTTAATGTAAGAAAGTTGGTATTTTTAAGGTTGGAGATTAGTGCTCGACCTTGGTTGTGATTGACACATGTCGAATGTGTTGAGGAAATGGAGTAGGGATCCGATGAACGAGCTCAAGATCGCAGTCAGGATCTTAAGCTCGCGACGTGAACTGCTCATCGCGAGCTGGATATTCTGCCTGTTGGGTACTTCAACAATAAAGCTCGATTGAGGTGTTCTGTCGGGCTAAGGTTCTGCTTGATAAGTGAACAACAACTTGCCAATGTTGATATTTGGGGGTCATGTTCGTACCTCAACATGTCTACGTGGTCGAGCTTATTCCGCCGTCGGTTGGAGAGGACTGGTTGACTGTCAATGCCCGTAGTAGGATAAGGACTTAGGTGTAATATTGTTTCAGTTTTGAGGTGTTCCATGGTCGAGGTAGTATGCTTTCGTGCCCGTAGCTCCGCGGACGCGGTATCGTCCTTCCCAGTTTACAGCCAGCTTTCCTTCGCGCGAATCTTTTTGATTTCTCCGCGGGACTAGGCTGCTGAGCTGGAATTCGCGTTTTTTGACTTTGTTGTCATGGCAAAGAGCTATTTGTTGTTTGGTTGCGGTTGTCTCTCTTTGATCCACAGGAAGTTAAACACCGGGGTTATCCAACATGAGATATCCCTGATGACATTTACCTCGGGTGGCATAATGTATTTTTCAATGCTCGGGCGAGAAAGGGATTCTTGGATGACGGGTTTGTTCCCGCCTTTCTTCTTTGTGCTCGCGAGCTTTGAAAGTATGTCGCCTCGTATGTTTTGCTCGCGGGGGCACATGCGTTATCTCTGCCCGATCAAACTTCTTCATATGTTCTCTGACCAGGTTTAAATATTCGATGAAGCTATTGTTCTTAGCCTGGTATCCCCCTTGAATTTGAGATGCGACAAGTTGGGAGTCAGTGAAAATTTGTATCTCCCGGGCACCTAGATCCTGGGCTAGTCTTAATCCTGCGAGCAGTGCCTCATACTCAGTCTGATTGTTCGACATTGGAAAAGAAAGGGTGAGGGAGTGTTCGATCACGACGCCTTCCTCGTTCTTAAGGAGGATTCCCGCTCCGCTCCCCGTCGAGCTAGAAGCTTCGTCCACAAACATGGTCCATTTGTGCTTTTTCCTTACGGGGAGATCGTCGGCGGTCATTTCTGCGACGAAGTCTGCCAGTGCTTGGGTCTTGAGGGCTTTCCTGCTCTCGTATTTGATGTCGAACTCCGAGAGCTCTAACGACCATTTCAGCATTCAACCTGCCATGTCTGGTCGGAATAGGAATTGTCTTACGGGTTGGCCCGTTCGTACGACAATCGTGTGTGCTAGGAAGTAATGTCTAAGACTCATTGCTGCATTGACGAGGGTCAAGGCCACCTTCTCGATCTGTTGATACCTGACCCCGAGCCCCTGAAGTGCTTTGCTTGTGAAATACACTAGCTTTTATCCGTCTGGAGTCTCACGAATGAGGGTTGCGCTTACGGCCTCGGCGGAGACGACCAGGTAAAGGAATCGGGTTTCCCCGTCCTCAGGTCGCGACGACATGGGCAGTTGCGAAAGGCTTTGCTTGAGATGGATGAGGGCTTGCTCGCATTCCTTGGTTCACTCGAAGGCTGTCTCTTTGCGCAGAAGTTTAAAAAAATGGAAGAGCGTAATGCGCGAATTTCGCCACGAATCGGGAGAGCGAGGTGATCATTCCGTTTAGGACTTGTATGGATTTCTTTGAGCTAGGTGTATGGAGCTCGGAGAATGCCTGGAATTTGTCGGGATTGACTTCAATTCCTAATTCTGTCAGGTAGAAACCTAGGAATTTGCCCGCATTAACCCCGAAGGTACATTTTCAGGGTTGAATCTCATTATGCATTGTCTCGCTTGAGCAAAGACCTTTTTGAGGTGGACAACATGGTCGATATCTGCTCAAGATTTGACGATCATGTCGTCCATGTATACCTCGAGCATATCCCTGATCTCCTTGTGGAAGACTTTATTCATCATCCGCTGGTATGGTGTCCTTGCATTTTTCAGGCCGAAGGACATTATATTGTAGTAGTAATTGCCCGAGCTGGTTATGAAAGCAATGCAATGCTTGTCACTCATCACCATTGGGATTTGGTTGTAGCCCGAGTAGGCCTCCATGAATGATAAAATTTTATAGTCGACTGAATTATCGACCAGTATGTCAATATTAGGTAAAGGAAAAACGTCTTTGGGACATGCCCGATTAAGATCAGTATAGTCAACACACATTCTCTATTTTCCATTATTTTTCTTAACAAGTACAACATTTGAGAGCCAGGTTGAATACCGAGCCTCAGAAATAAAATTAGCCTCTATGAGGTCTTTTATATCATTTTCAGCAGCCTCCACTTTCTCTGGAGACTGCCTACGTCTACATTGTATTATTGCCCTAGCGACTGAATCAATGGCCAAGTGGTGACAATCGACCTCGGGGTCGAATCCAGGCATCTCCGCGACACTTCACGCAAACAGGTCTGCGTTTTCCCTCAAGCAAGCTTTGATCTGGTTCCTCGTCAGGTTGGGGAGTCCGGTGCCGATCTTCAGGCCTTTGTAAGGGTCTTCACTGAGGGGGACGAACTCTAAGTCTCCGTCCGAGATTGGTCGGAGGAGTTCATGTTCGTCGTTGGATGCTTCATCCTTGTCGAAGTGGGTGTCAAGCAAGATGGAGTCGACCTTGGGTGGAGCTCTTTGTTCTTTTGTCTTGACGGGTTGTAGCTCAGGTCGAGCAGTAGCAACTCTCTTAGCAGGTCGTGCCCCGGTGTCGACCGTACTCTATCCCTTTGAAGATGCGTTGAAACATCTCCGGGCAGCTGAGATGTCACCGTGGATGGTGGCGACGCGTCCCCTCTTCGTGTAGAATTTCATCTTTAGATGAACGGTGGAGGGGACAACGGTTAACTCGGACATCGTTAGTCTCCCTAGGATGCATTTGTAGAGAGACGGGCAATCGATGACCATAAATTACACCTTGACCTGTTGAGCGTCGGTTTCCTCCCCGAAGGTGACGAAGAGCTCCACGTACCCCCATGGTTTAGAGGTCGAGCCATTGAAGCCTTGCAGGTCGAACCCCATGTATGGTGAAAGGTGGGTGTTGTCGAGTTGTAAGGTTTAGAACAGATGATTATACATAACATCGACGAAACTCCCTTCGTCGACCAAGATGTGGTGAACGTCGAAATTTGCCATTCTTGCCCTTACTAGAAGAGGGATGCTCGAGTTAGGGGCCCCTCCGGACAACTCTTTGAGGTAGAATGTGATTGGCTCTGACCTGCCCTTGACCTTCTCGAGTGTCACTGCTTGAGTCGGGGTTGCGTCGACCAACTCATCGAGCTTCCTTTTTCGGAGTTTATGGAGATGTCGTTGAACCCCCCGCCAGTTATAACCATGACGAATGGGAATTTTCCCCACCTACTGTGCATGGACAGAGGTTCTTCTTCGTGTTTGTTAGGGA